ATGATGGATCACCACCCAGAATCAATCGAACCCGTCGATGGTTTCCTTTCAAAACCAAAGTCAATACTCGTCAAGTTTGGTTGAAGATTGAAGGGAAAGTGGCCGGGATATGATTTAGTGGTGGTGAAGAGCTCTGATTTCCTAAAAAAACATTCCGAAGAAGTTGGAAAATCACGCCGAGCGTCAGGGTTAGAACCGGGGCACGGTTGGAAAACGGGTTAAAGGAAGATCCAGTTCTCCTCTCTTCTCTCCTTTATTTCATGTCCTCTGATTCGCCAGTTTCTCCCCTCCTTTCCCTCATTTCTCTTCTCTTCTTCCTATCTTAGCTATACATGTGGCACCCAGATTGTTGCTCCAGCAAATCTGGAGCCTTCTACGTAATGGCCAAATGACCATTTTGCCCTCAACTTTGTTCGTTTATAACTCTTTCATTATAACTCCAAATTACATTTCGTTTGCGCCCATGCATCCGTATTGAGACGTACTATCCGAATATGTAAAGAAGTCTAGAAAATCATGGAAAGATTAAATACATCCTTGAAGAATCCCATTTAATACAATAGGGGCAATTTCATCCTTTTACTTATCGAAAAAAATTATACGTTGCAAATACAAACGCGTTGAAACTAAGAATACGAAATACATAATTTTAAATAGTGAAATCTAGGGACAGGATTTCACAGTGTTAGTGTCTATGATAAGCTCTCGACGAGCCCAATGTCTCTGCGGTGTTAGATTTTTAAATTCCTAACCCAATTTTACAAATCGAAGCCATAAAGTTCTGGTTTGTCTAGCGAGTTTCCCTTTTTTTTGGTGATTTTGAAAACAATTACCATCGATCACCACCACCAATAGTCTACCCTCAACCCCAGGAGCAAGGCCCAAGTATTGGTGAGGCGTCGAAGTTCGTTTTGGCGATGAATCGAAAACACCCATTTTTAGGGATCCAGAAGGATTGAGGTGGTTTTCAGGTGTTTTCCGGCTGAATTAACTTTGGTGTAGGTATGAAAATTATTCCCCTAGACGTACTCTACATTTTTGTAAAATTTGGTAATTTTTGGAGTTAGTCGAAAAATTGAGTTTCCGTTCGTCAAAAACCACCGCATGTGGTGGCACGTCGCCAAAGGGCTAACTCTGTCTTTCTAGGCTAAATTGGATACCCCAAATCCATATGTGACATCGGTTGATGAAATCCCTTCATTTGGACATATTTTTGTTAGAGGCCGCCACTTGATCATCATAATAATTGATGATCTGATTGTTAGATCGTTACCAAACTTTATTATGTTATTATACGTAATATTTGAGGACCTTAGGAACTTACGGATTGGAAATCTAGTGGGTGGGTCTTCCTGATTGATCTACTAGGGTTGATTTTGATCAAAATGTTCTTAATCGTTCTTGAATATTAAAATTAGTATTACTAGAGACTAAGTAGGGCTTAGTGAGCCTATATCAGTTAGTGAGCTATCCTAGGTAATATATACCTCATATTACGTGTGTGGGATGCCTTATTGTGATATAGATGTGTATTTATCTTCTTGATAATATTAATGACATGTATGGTAACTATTATGACAATGTAAGCCTAGAATCATATTAGAAGTATTCTGTAGAACTTGTATGCTTGTGTGACATGTTAGTTAGTGGTCATGAGAAATTGATTGTGCAGGCAATTACGTTGTAAGGGGTTGAGATAGGGGTAAAGTGATTGTGTGTTGATCTAACTGCACCATGTAGCAGTGGTACATGGATGGTCCTTCTTGGTATATCCGCGATAGATGACCATATGTATTTCAGGGGTGATCACACTTGGTATATTCGTGATGGGTGATCACTGCCTGCACAATAAGAATGTGCTTATGGTTCTCCTTGGTTTATCTGCAATGGGGTTCCATATGCATTCTATGAGTGATCATGCTTGGTATATCCGCGATGGGTGATCACTGCCTGCACAATTAGATTATACTTATGGTTCTGCTTGGTATATCCATAATAGGGGACCATACGCATTCTAGGGGTGATAAGGATTAGTTGTACTGGGTACATTTTGATAGGCGATCATATTTTAGTTGGATTCCATTGAGTGGTCTGGAATCCCTACTCTTGCTCATTTCCATAAGGTTAGTCTGACCCTAGATTCGAGTTTATAGGAATTGCTCACAGTAGACGTTGTGTTTATAAATTAGAATTATCATGTTATTACTTGCAATCCAGGTAGGAAATTATGTAGAATTCCTTTATTAAATTTCATGGATTGATATGGGATCTTATTGATTGATTAACGTAGTTAAATGTTAATATCATGCATCTTTTATTCTTGGGATTGATTAATTGGAGTGATTGTGGAATGATGTTGGATATGATTATTATTACTATGATCAAATTTGTTGACCAATGTGGCTAAAGAATAATATTGTGCTTCGTTGGTTGTCTTTGAGATGTTGCATGCTATATATTGTGGTATTATGTTGAAACATAGTGATTTATAAGATGGATGAAATGGAAATCTTGATTGTCATGTGGGTTTGTTATGTAAGCCTGAATCTAGTAATTCATGCTTGTTAAGTCCCAATAATTGATTGAGGAATGCTATGCCTTCCTGTTAGAACGCACTGGGATAAATGTCTGAGTTTAGTGATTGGTGAACAACGAATAGCTTGATCCCTTCTTAGGGTACGTAGGCAGTCTAACGCTAAGGTTAGATGCAGCCATGGAATAAAAGAAAATGAATGCATGGTTAAATCATTGATTGTGTTGTGGTCTTGTCTCGGAGGTGATACATGATAGATAAACAGGAATATGGTGACATCACGTGGCGATCTTGGTCGTATGTCGGGATCAGGACGTGTCACCACTTGTCTAGAGATGTGGTGTATCACTCTGTGTTCCAGGCACATCGAAAGATCTCTCGTCATCTTGACTACTATTGGCTCGTCATCTTGATTACTATTGGGAAACAACGCCACAAAAATAAAACTAGGAAAATGTAATTCAATTTGAAGTCTTTCTCTTATTCTAAGAAAAAAAAAACTAATAATAATAATGTCTTAATGATAGTTGACAATTGGGAGAAAACATAGTGTAAATGAGGGGTGGGTGGGGTGTATGGGCACCAGCACATGTGGTGTTTTTTATTTATTATTTTGTCTCTTATCATTAAATAAAGTTGATGAATGATTTTTTATTAAAATGAAAAAATTTGAAACCCTTTTTCATTAGTTTTTTATTTTAATATCCAACACCTATTGATTCTTAACTCTAAGGATAAAAGCAATCATTGAAAATGACAAAAACATTTGGTGGAGTATTTTAAATGGACAAAAGTCATGTTGACAAGGGACTTGGATTGTCTGCCCTCCTCATCCCATACCTTTCCCATGCCCTTTTATATTATGTGGTCACGGTTAAACCACGTCAACATTTTATATTGATTTTGTTATAGAAATAATAAGACAAAAAGTAATGGAAATATAAAATGTTGACATGGCTTAACCGTGACCACAGAAAACGGAGGGCATGAGGAAGGTATGGGATGGGGAGGGCAGACAATCCAAGTCCGTTGACAAGACGCAATAGACAATAGACTTGGCTTGTGTGTGTGTGTGTGTGTTTTTTTTTTTTTTTTGTGTGGTGTGTGTTCATATGGTTGAAAAATGTTCATTGGGGTTTTTTTAATTAAAATTTTGTGTTGGGGTATGCTATCCACAATTTTTTTCTTTTCCCCACATACTACTCTCAATTTTCGACCGTCGGATCAAATGAATTGAAGAATATCAAAAGACAAAAATAAAAAAAGGAATAATTCTATGTTTATATTGCCAATTTACCACCAAGCCCTTATCATATTCTTATTGATATATGGATAATTTTAGGGAGACCAAATTTTTCAATCCCCTATGCAAACCGAATGATATGGTTTTGGATGATTGGATTAGTAATTAAGTGTCGATTAATATGTTTATTTCTTACTGTTTACACGTATTTTGGTTTAAAAATTTGGTCTTTCGAACATTGTTCTTAATATATCCATTGTGCACCAATAGGAATCGACAATTGAAAGTCTTTTGTTTTACATGGATCGAAACTTAATATCTAAAACGTTCACAATTGACGACATGGCCTCAAAGTTTTTAGACATCTCCAATGATATAAGTGGAAGTATAAACAATCACGTCTAATCAGAGCGTGTCATGTAGATCGTAACATTAGACTGACAAAACTACCTTGATAGAATGCATGAGCATATCATTATCCCAGGAGGATCCTCTTCGGATCTTCAAATCGTGTTCGTTCATTGTATATCGTGTGATCAGTTTTTATTAAGTACTATTCATATTTAATTTAAAATAATTTATGACTACACGATATACAATAAACGTACACAATTTGAGAATCCGGAGAGGATCCCCATTCATCATTATCTAAACTTAATAGACAAAGTAGATCAGCCCAATAAAAAATAACAAAAGCTCACAACTACCAAGGTCAACGACCAATTTATCCCAAGAGGATCTTCTCCAGATCCTCTTTGTGAGGATCCTCAAATCATGATCGTTCATCGTATATCGTGTAGTCAGTTTTCGATATATACTATTTAAAGACTACCTCTTACAATCGTTTGATTAAAATAAAATTCAACAACGTTTTCTATTTGTCTTTCTTTTCCCATTTATGTGCGAGATACACTACTTGTATTAAAGAGGAGACGATGAATTAAATATGGCTCAAGGCTCACGCATGAGAAAGTTGCTCAATCTTGGCTAAATGCTATTGGGTTAGCTGAATTTTATTTCTTAATTAGGAGGACTGATAGTCGGTCTTCTGACCTTTTTTAGTTGTTATCTATAAGTAGGGATTGCACCCATTATGCTAAATAATAGAACCCAATTCTATGTTATATTTACATTAAAATGAAAACCACCAAATAAAATCATGCTTGGATTTACCAGGTCGATTAATCATGCCAATATAATAAATTCAAAGAAATGTACATGATATCGAGGGAAAAAAGTGCTATAGAAATATAAAACTTAAAACATAACATTGCATCATAAGACACACGTACACATCCCACGACACTCACCACTCAGATTGGTAGGCATCATCAGATTACACAGTAATGAAAATGCCCATTATTCAAGTCCCAGGGACGACACTACTTACCACACAAACACAACGCATAAGTTCATAACCTCGTACTATAGTCATAAGATGACCACATAGATTCAAAACTAGCCAACCCTTCAATGATGCGCGTTGATGGGAGAATCAGTGTGGCAGCACTTGTAACTCACGAATGTCTCCATGGTGCGAGGACACTCTGGGCATTTCATGGTCTCCGGGACCTTTCCAGCAACGCTCGGGATGTCAAGGCGGCAGCAGTGCCTCATAGTCTGAATCACCTTCTCGTAGTATGCTTTGAACGAGAATTCAAAGCCCTTCTCCTTTATGAAGTTCTTCCATGTGTCGAAGTCGTCGAGGACCTTCAAGATTGTGAAGCCATGGCCACTCACCACCACAGTAGACCCTTTAGTAAGCACAGCCCATCCACCCTCATTTTTGTAGGAAAGCAGCTTCTGGACTTCTTTGGTCACAGTGTCAGTTTGCTTGTTGACTTTGGTGAAGAACAAGCTCTCAATTCCATTCCAAAATCTCCCGAGAATTCCAAGGTCTTCTCCGCCTTTCGGGCTCTTGCCAACACAAAATAGCTCAATATTGATCTTCAATTCCTTGATGAAGGGGTCATTGGCAATGGTAGTTGCTTTCTTTGTGAACTGCTGGATCCAGTCATTGTCTTTGCCTCCATAGAAGAAAATGTACTTCTCCTCGTTGATCTGTTCGAACAAAGAAATAAAAATTATACAAAATTGGTGCTGTAATGTTGTGCAATTGTGAAAAATGAATTGAATTAATTACCCAGGTCTGTATGGTTGGGTGAATATCATTCACAATGGGAGTGATCCATTCTTTGTCATTTGTGATAGTATCTTCTATTCCCTTATGAAAAGGAAATGCCTTCATTCCATGAATCCGAATCAAGTGGAGAGCATTCGTATTTTCCACCTTGCCTTGCGGGTTCATCACTACCACAGCGGGCTTGCCCTTGAAGTGCCACTCCTCCTTGATGAATCTGATGCCGGCTACAGGCGCAAAATACCGCACAGTGTACCATGGCATCTTGACCATCAAGACCTCGAACTTCTTTCGTAGGTCATCAGTCCATTGCTCCACAATAGGGATCCACACAATCTTATACTTATCGTCTTTCTTTGTCCCCTCATAAACTGGTTTGATAATCGAAATGTCATCATCAGAAATGTCAAGGGTGGAAATGAACAAAAGCACATACTTCCTCCTCAGCACATCAATGCTAACCTGTTTGAAAAATTTAGGACAATGATTACATTAATTAGCTACATACACTACAAACGGTAATAGTAAAATTTATCAAAAAGTAGTAACGTGCTGTGAGAGCAAACCGTTTTGTTAGTAGAACCATCAATAATTGGCTGCACGGCATCCTTAGTAAAAATCAAGGCCTTGAAAACCTCCATAACTTCGGCAGGGGTCTGAAAAAGTTTCCTCAGCTTCCGGTAGGTTTCTGCCTCCACTGTTTTATATAGAAAACACTTGTTTTCAGCAATGCATATCAAGTATAACATGTACATGTACAACGGTACAAGTACTCACCTATCTGTTTTTTGCAGATTAACAATTGTATCTTAAGCTTGTTGAGGATATAGTGGATTTTTTGAGCAAATTGGGACAAATCATATGGCTTCTCTCTACAATGCAGGAAACCAAGTCAGATAAATATTACTTGTTTTGAAATTGTATTGATCATAAATATAACTTTTACAGCGTAATTAGTTTGGAAATAAAAAACTTACTCATCACTGGTTAGAAGGGTGATCTTAGTTGCACAAGAAAAAATAGTTATGATAGACCAATAGACATCGACCGGTATGTGATCCATTGCAATTGCCAATGCTGGCACATCCTTTGGATCATAAGCAGAAATCTTCTCAAGCTCAAAGATGCACTCAATCACTTGCAATGTGGTCTTGATCAGGACGTTGAGCTCAACAACAGCTTGCCTGCGCTTTTGGAGATCCACGGGCTTGAGAAGGACCGGCACTCTCTTGAGGATTGCGACGGACTTGGCAAGTAGGTCACTTTGTTGAGTTTGGGCAAGGAGCCAGAACTCTCCATATTCCAAAGCAAATGCTGCTAGGGCCAGCACTGCCTTGGCTTCCCATGAATAAGTTGAGAGCTTGTTGAGTATTGCCAAGGTTGATTTGTGGGCAATTTCTTCACCTGGTGGCTTGCATGACATCTGAAAGAAATTGTAGATAATTAAACCCGTGATTTTTTTATAGGAACTATAAGATATTTTGTTTTAGAAAAATAAAAGGAAAATTAAGAATTAATCAATTTGTTATGCAATATTGTAAATAATGACCTCACAGCAAATGGACTTGAGAGTGCACAATGGAGAACTGAAGGTGGCTTTGGGGGGCTTCTCGTCAATGGTTTCAACATGTACTTGGGTTCCCTGCAACAAATCACTAGTAATTAATCACCAATTGGAAGTTTGCTAATACTTAAAATTAACCTGAGCTCAGTAATATTAATTGCAAGATATTTCTTACTTCTAATCACTTAATTAATCCTTTTGATAATGAATTCAAGTGCTGAGCCCATGATTTGGTTTCTAATCTTTAAATCTTCTTATTATTTTAGTTAAGATTATTATTAATAAAAATCATTTTCAAGCTTCATAATGTATACGTGTCCGATTTACCAACAAAGATAAATGTATGTGGCCCTTCTGTCAAATACAAA